TCCAGTTTCTGTTGGTCTGGGAAGCTCTGCATCTCTCCATCTGTTCTAAATGACAGCCTTGCCAGATAAAGTGTTCTTGGCTGCATGTTCTTCTCGTTTAGTAACCTGAATATATCTTGCCAGGCCTTTCTGGCTTGCCAGGTCTCTGTGGATAGGTCTGATGCTATTCTGATGTTCGTCCGTCTGCACGTAAGGAATCTCTCTTCCCCTTAACTGCCCTTAATATGGTTTCCTTGGTTCTAAAATTTGCGAGCTTTATTATTACATGCCTGGGCGTTGGCCTATTTTCCTTGATCTTGGAAGAGGTCCTTTCTGCCTCTAGGACACACATGTTTGTTTCATTCCCCAAATTAGGGAAGTTCTCAGCTATGATTTGCTCAAATATATCTTCTAGTCCTCTCTCTCTCCACCCCTCAGGGATCCCAATAATTCTGACATTGGAACTTTTCATGGTGTCACTTATTTCTCTGATTCTATTTTCGTGTATTTTGAGTTGCTTTTCCCTGGCCTTCTCTTTTTCTTCTTGTCTATTAATTGGTTTTCTAGATCACTAATTTGTTCTTCTGCCTCGCTTACACTAGCTGTTAGATTATCTAGATTAAATTGGATCTCACTGATATCATTTTTAAGTTCGGCCAGTTCAGCTTTCATTTCTGCCCTTAGAGACTCTATGTTGCCATTAATCGATTTCTCCATTCTAGCTATTGTCTTCATAATTGCTACCCTGAATTCCATCTCCGACCTCTTGGTTATGTCTGTATCCGCTTGTAAATCTTTGGCATAAGTCAGTCTCTGAGTCTTTCCTATTTTGGGGGGTTCCTCCTCCTAGTCATTCTGTTGAGAGACGGTTGAGGGAATGTACAGAATCCAAATTATTGACCACAACCCAAGCAAGATGTACCTTTTTTATGGGGACCTTAGGGTTGCTGACCTATTTTTCTGCCAGCCTGTCTTCTGGGGGAGAGGCCTGTCATGCTATTACTCAGGCAAACTTGTTTGGACACAGTTGCCCTGCCCCCTGTGGTGGGGGATGGGCTCAGTGAAAACTGTTTTTCTGGGGATTTTGTTCTCTGGCGACTTCCCCTGGCAGCTTTCCGCATCTCTTCCGAGAGTCAGAGCAGAAGAGACTATTTCCAACCCTCTGCCTCAGAGTAGAGAGATCACAGTCTGTTCTTCAGTGAGCTCTCCAGGTCACACTATCTCCGTTTCTGTCTGTGCTGCTAGAAACTGTAGCATCTTGGGTTGTGCGCCCCTCCACAGTGCTCCCAGTCCTCGCCTCCAGTTCAGGGGACGTCTCTGCCCTTTGTGCTTCTAAAACTGCCAGCTGCCCCCAGTTCATGAGTGCAGCCCTGCAGCTCCAGTTTCAGTCTGGAGGGCTGCCCTAAGGTCCTTTCCCCGCTGCTACTGGTCTGCGAATCTGTGCCCGGTCCCCAGCATGGGAGGATATCACTCACCAGCAGTGTAGGATCACCATGGCTCCCTCTCTCTGCCATTTATCTTCCAATATCTCCCTGCAGAATCACGGCTCCCCACTACATACCTCAAAACCAACCACCTGCGGTATTCTGTTTGTAGAGATCCAGATCTATCTTCTTATATCTAAGGCTGATTTTGTGGGTGCTCAGAGATGTCTGATAGATATCCAGCTCAATTCTGGGGACCAGTTGGAATAGGGTCCTCTACTCCTCCACCATCTTTTCCTCCCCATGTATATTTCTTCCTTTATGTCTGTTAATAAATTATTTATGTATTTAGGTGCTCCCATATTGGGTGTATAAATATTTACAACTATTATATAATCTTGTTGAATTATTCACTTTAACATTATGTAGTGTCCTTCTTTGTCTCTTGTTACAATCTTTGTTTTAAAGTCTATTTGGCTTGATATAAGTATTGCTTCCACTGCTTTCCTTTTGCTTTATTTCCATAGTAAGTATTTTTCTATCAATTCACTTTCAATGTGCATGTGTCTTTATATATACATTGAGTTCTTGTAGGCAGCATATAGACAGGCCTTGCTTAGTTTTTTTTTCCTTTTTATGTTAATTCCAGTTAGTTAACATACAGTGTAATATTAGTTTCAGGTGTAGAATTTAGTAATTCAAAACTTACATATGAAACCCAGTGCTCATCACAACAAAGGTCCTCCTCAAACCCCATCACTTATTTAACCTATCCCTCTGCCCATCTCCCCTCTAGTAAGCCTAAGTTTGTTTTCTGTAGTTGAGTCTGTTTCTCAGTTTGCATAAATTTTTATAACCCCGTGTTCATTTGTTCTGATTCCTAAATTGAACATGTGTGTGAAATCATATGATATTTGTCTTTCTCTGACTGACTTCTTTGCTTAGCATAATATTCTCTAGCTCCACCCACATCCTAGCCAATGGTAAGATTTCATTCTTTTTGATGGCTGAGTAATATTCCATTGTATGTATACTACCTCTTCTTTATCCATTCATAAGTCGATGGACATTTGGGCTCTTTTCATAATTTAGTTGTTGTTGATAATGTTACTATAAAAATAGGCGTGCATGCATCCCTTCAAATAAGTGTTTTTCTATCCTTTGTGAAATACCAAATAGTGCAATTGTGGCATTACAGGATAGTTCTATTCTTAACTTTTTGAGGAACCTCCATACTGTTGTCTCAAGTGGCTGCATCAGTTTGCATTCCCACCGACAGTGTAAGAGGGTTCCCCTTTCTCTGCGTCCTTGCCAACACCTGTTTTTTCCTATGTTGTTAATTTTAGCCATTCAGGCTGCTGTGAGATGATATCTCACTGTAGTGTTTGTTTTTGTTTTTTTTTTAATCATTTTCAACTAATATATTTATCTTAATTTAAAATCAATTAACATATAGTGTATTACTAATTTCAAAGATAGAGTTTAATGATTCATCAGTTGCATAAAACACTGATAATTACAACACATATAATTACATCAGGTGCCCTACTTAATGCCCATTACCCAGTTACCCCATCCCCTCACCCACCTCCTCTCCAACAATCCTCAGTTTCTTTCCTAAAGAGTCTCTTGTGGTTTGTCTCCCTATGTGATTTTGCCTTATTTTATTTTTCCCTCCCTTCCCATATGTTCATCTGTTTTTGTTTCTTAAATTTCACATATGAATGAAATCATATGATATGTCTTCCTCTGTCTGACTTATTTCGCTTAGCAAAGTACCCTCTAGTTCCATCCAAATTGTTGCAAATGGTAAGATCTCATTCTTTTTGATGGTGGAGTAATATTCCATATACCACCTCTTCTTTATCCATTCATCTATCAGTGGACATCTGGGTTCCTTCCAATTTTTTTTGGCTATAGTGGACATTGTTATACACTTTGGGGTGCATGTGCCTTTTCAAATCACTATTTTTGTATCCTTTGAATAAATACTTAGTAGTGCAATTGCCGGATTGTAGGAAAGCTCTATTTTTAACTTTTTGAGCAACTTCCATACTGTTTTCCAGAGTGGCTGTTCTCACTGTATTTTGATTTGTATTTCCCTAATAATGAATGATGTTGAGCAGCTTTTCATTTGTAGTTGGGCATCTGTAAGTCTTCTTTGGAAAAATGTCTATTCTTTTCTTCTGCCTATTTTTAATGAATTATTCATTTTTTGGTGTTTTTTTTATAAGTTGTTTATATACTTTGGATACTAATCCCTTATCAGATATGTCCTTCGCAAATATCTTGTTCCATTCTGAAGGTTCCCTTTTAGTTTTGTTGTTTCGTTTGTTTTGTAGAAGCTTTTTATTTTTATGAAGTTCCAATAGTTTACTTTTGTTTTTGTTTCCCTTCCCTCAGAGACATATTTAGTAAGAAGTTGCTATGGCCAATATCAAAGAGGTTACTGCCTCTGCTCTCCTTTAGGACTTTGATGGTTTCCTAAGTCACATTTAGGTCTTTAATCCATTTTGAATTTATGTTTGTATGTGGTGTAAGAAAGTGGTCCAGTTTCATTCTTTTTGCACGTAGTTGTCCAGTTTTCCCAACACCATTTGTTGAAGATCCTGTCTTTTTTCCATGGTTAACCATAGAGTTGAGGGTCCATTTCTGGGTTCTCTATTCTCTTCCCTTGATCTCTGTGCCTGTTTTGTGCCAGTACCATACTTTCTTGATGGCTACAGCTTTGTAATACAGCTTGAAGTCTGGAATTGTGATGCCACTAGCTTTGCCTTTCTTTTTCAACATTGCTTTGGATATTTTGGGTCTTTGGTGATTCCATACAAACTGTAGGGTGGTACTAGTTGTGTGAAAAATGCTGTTGGTATTTAATAAGGCTTTCTCTAAATGTGTGGATTACTTTGGGTAGTATAAGCATTTTAACAATATTTCTTCTTCCAATCCATGACTGTGGAATGTTGTTGCATTTCTTTGAGTCATTTTCAATTTCTTTCATCAGTGTTTTATAGATTTCAGAATACAGATCTTTTACCTCTTTAGTTAGGTTTATTTCTAGGTATCTTACGGTTTTTGGTACAATTGTAAATGGGATTGATCCCTTGATTATTCCTTCTGCTTCATTATTGGTGTGTAGAAATGCCACAGATTTTTGTACATTGATATTGTATTCTGCAACTTTGCTGAATTCATCTATCAATTCTAGCAATTTGTTGGTGGAGTCTTTGGGGATTTTTATAGAGAGTGTCATGTCATCTGCAAGTTGTGGAAGTGTGATTTCTTCCTTGCTTATTTGGATGCCTTTTATTTCCTTCGGTTGTCTGATTGCTGTTGCTTGGACTTCAGTATTATGTTAATAACAGCAGTGAGAATGGATATCCCTGTCTTGTTCTTGACCACAAAGGAAAAGCTCTGATTTATTCCTTATTAAGGATGATAACAGTGCATTTTTCATATATGAACTTTATTACATTGAGGTATGTTCTTTTTTCCCTACTTTGTTGTGGGTGTATAAAATGAATGGATGTTATACTTTTTCAAATGCTTTTTGTGCATCTATTGAAATAATTATATTGTTCTTATCCTTAATGTGGCATATCATGTGGATTGATTTGCAAATATTGAGCCATGCTTGCAAACCAGGAATAAATCCACTTTGATTGTGTTTCAATTAGCAATAATCGCGCCTCGGATAAACCTCATTGGCTACGATACTGCCACTGTGCAAAGCTCACTTTGATTGTGTTGAATGATTCTTTTAATGTACTGTTGGATTTCATTTGCTATTATTTTGTTGGGAATTACTACATCCATTTTCATCAGGGATATTGGCCTGCAGTTCTCTTTTTACTGGAATCATTGTCTGATTTTGGTAACAGGGTAATGCTGGCCTCGTGGAATGAATTTGGAAGTTTTCCTAACATTTCTATTTTTTTGGAACAGTTTGAGAACAATAGGTATTAACTCTTCTTAAATGTTTGGTAGAATTCCACTGGAAAGCCATCTGGCCTTGGACTTTTATTTATTGGGAGACTTTTGATTAATGATTCAATTTCTTTGCTGGTTTTGGGTCTATTCAAATTCTCTATTTCTTCCTGTTTCAGGTTTTGTAGTTTCTAGTTTTGTGTGTTTCTAAGAACTTATCTATTTTTTACAGATTATCTAAATTGTTGGCATATAGTTGTTCATAATATTCTCTTATAATTGTATGTATTTTTGTGGTGTTGGTTGTTATTTCTCCTCTCTCATTTGTGATTTTATTTTTTTGGGTCCTTTCTCTTTTCTTTTTGATAAATCTGCTGAGGGTTTATCAATTTTATTAATTCTTTCAAAAAAGCAGCTCCTGGTTTCATTGATCCGTTCTACTGTATTTTTGGCTTCTATATCATTTATTTCTGCTCTAATTTTTTTTAAAGATTTATTTATTAGAGAGAGAGTGAGCAAGCAAGCTGGGGGGGAAGGGGCAGAGGGAATAAGAGAGAAAGAATCTCATGCAGACAACCTGTTGAGCGCAGAGCTTGACACAGGGCTTGATTTCATGACCCTGAGATCATGACTTAAGCTGAAATCCAGAGTCAAATGCTTAACTGACTGAGCCACCCAGCCACCCCCCTGCTCTAATCTTTATTATTCTCCTTCTTTTGTAGGCATTAAGCTTTGTTTGTTGTTCTTTTTCTAGCTCCTTCAGGTGTAAAGTTATGTTTTTTATTTGATTCTTTTCTTCCTTCTTGAGGTAGGACTGTATTTCTTTATACTTCCCTCTTATGACTGCTTTAGCTGCATCCCAAAGGTTTTGGACAGTTGTGTTTTCATTTTAATTTGTTTCCATGTATATTTTCATTTCTTCTTTAATTTTCTGGTTGACCCATTCATTCCCTGGTAGCATGTTCTTTAATCTCCATGTATTTGTGGTCTTTCCAAATTTTTCTTGTGGTTGACTTCAAGTTTCATTCTGTTATGTTCAGAAAATATGCATGGTATGATCTCCATTTTTAAAACTTGTTGAGGCCTGATTTGTGACCTAGTATGTGATCTATTCTTGAGAATGTTCCATGTGCACATGAAAAGAATGTGTATTCTGCTGCTTTAGGATTAAATGTTCTGAATATATCTGTTAAGTCCATCTGGTCCACTGTGTCATTCAAAGTGTGTTGATTTTCTGCTTAGATTATGTGTCCATTTTTGTAAGTAGGGTGTTAAAGTCCCCTACTATTATTGTATTATTATCAGTGAGTTCCTTTATGTTTGTTATAATTGTTTTATATATGTGGGTACTCCCATTTTGGGGGCATAAATATTTACAATTCTTAGATCTTCTTGTTGTATTGTCCCCCTTAATATGATACAGTTTCCTTCTTTATCTCTTGTTGCAGTCTTTGGTTTAAAATGTAATTTGTGTGATATAAGGATTGATATTCAGGCTTTCTTTTGATTTCCACTCCCATGATAAATATTTTCCTGTCCCCTCACTTTTAATCTGGAGGTGTCTTTAGGTCTAAAATGAGTCTCTTTTAGGCGACATATGGTTGGGTCTTGGTTTTTTATCCATTCTGACATCATATATCTTTTGATTGGAGCTTTTTTCAATTTACTTCCAGAGCAATTATTGACAGATGAGTAGTTAGTGCCATGTTTTTACTTGTTTTCTCCTTGTTTCTGGAGAATTTCTGTTCCTTTCCTGTCTTTGTCACTTTTGGTCTTTCCTTTCTACTCAGAGCCCTCATTAATATGTCTTGCAGGGCTGGTTTAGTGGTCACGAAGTCCTTTAGTTTTTGTTTGGGAAACTATGGCTCCTTCTGTTCTGAATGATAGCTTTCTTGTATAAAGTATTCTTGGCTGCAGATTTTTCCTATTTAGCACGTTGAATACTTCATGCTACTGCCCTCAAGCTGGCCAAGTTTCTATTGAGAAATCTGCAGTGCAACTTATTGGTCTTCCCCTGTAAGTTAGGGACTTCTTTTGTCTTGGTGCTTTTAGGATTTTTTGTTCAATGCTATTTTGCAAATTTAATTACAATGTGTTTTGGTTTTGGTCTGCTTTTATTGATTTTTGAAGAGCGTTCTCTGTTCTCTTGGATTTGGATGTCTGTATCCTTCCCCAGATTAGGGAAGTTTTCAGCTTTGATTTCCTCAAATGAATTTTCTGCCCATTTGTCTTTTCTTCTTCTGGGACTCCTGTGATATGCATGTTATTACATTTGGTGGAGTCACTGAGTTCCCTAAGTCTATTCTTGGGACCTATCCTTTTAATTCCATTTTTTTTCAGTTTCATTATTTTCCATTATTTTACTTCTATATCACATATTTGTTTCTCTTCTTTCATCCTTGTGTTTATTATATCCAGTCTATTTTGAATCTTATTCCATTTTTATTTCTGCCGGGTTTTTTTTAACTCTTTAACTTCTGTGGAAAGGGCCTCCCATTCTTTTTGCACAGCCAGCTAATATCTTCATTACTGTTGCTTTAAATTCTCCATCAGTCATATCACTTATGTCTGTTTCAGTTAGATCTCTGGCCATTACCTTTTCCTGTTGTTTCATTTGGGATGAATTCTTCTGTCTTGGCATTTTGTCTAAGTCTCTGTCTTCTTCTCAATGTTGAAAAAGCTTGTTACATTTCCTGCTACTGAGAGTAATGACTTTATGAAGAAGATGTCATTTAGTGTACAAGGCCTGGTACTTCAGGCAGTGCCCATGGTGTGTGCTGTGAGCACTCTGCTCTTGTGTTTTGACCTCTCTATCCTTTAAGTCTGTCACCTGCAGAAGCTTTCCTTGCCTTCAGTGACCAGGGTTTGGACCTTGGCCAGAATGTAACAAGATTTAACTAGGTGTGCTCTCATATGCTTGTTAAATGAGACCTCATAATTGGGGAAACAAGATGGAGTCCTGGGAACATGCAGCACAGTCTGAGGATTCCCTGGGTCACATGGGGAGAAGGGGTTCTCTGCCTTGGAGTACATTTGGTAGAGGGAATACAGCCACCCTGTGGGAAGTAGACCCTGTAGGCACCATTGACCTACCCCGTTTGCCAGTATAGAAACAAATACACTGGCTGAGAGTAGCAAACCCTGGCACCAGCTGTGTGCTGCAATTTGCCACAAATTCTCAACCACTGCCTGGTCTCATGACTCTGTCTGGGACAAGCCAGTATTGGCCACAGTGCAGGGAGACCTTCCCCCAGAGGATCAGCATAGATCCATGATGTGTGTGCCTATGAAGTGTGTGGGGTTTTGGAACACAGCCATGCCTGAGATAGAGCACACCAGTGCTGTGCCATTTGGCTGGTGGACAGTTCCGACACAGGTGAAGGTGGGGATCTGATGGAAACTGGGGACACAGGAGGGGTCATTATTTGCACAACTGTAAGGGCATTCTGAAGAGTGATGGGTGCAAACTTCCAGCTCTGGAGAGGAGGGAATGGGGTTGAGCCATTTTCACCCAATGCCCACCAACATTGATCGACCCAAGTGAGATAAACAGCACTACTAAGTGAACAAGGAAGCTACTACAAAAAACACACCACCTCCGATGGCCACTAGAGGTGAAAATCCACTAGGGCAAGTCCACCTGAGAATCACAGCAGCAAGCCCCTCCCCCAGAAGGCCAGCACAAACCTCTCCCACTCACTAAGCCTACCGATCCTGGAGTACTGCAAGCTTCAGCTCTAGGGGAAACAGAATCTAGCTTCATTTGGGTTTGTTTGTTTGTTTGTGGTTTTGTTTTTGTTTTGGATACAGAAAGAAAAATTTTTAATTTATTTTTATTATCCTTTTTAATTTTTAATTTTTATCATTTTTTTAAATCAAACCTCTTGTAAAAAGCAGACCAAAACACACCTAGGTTCTTCTTCCTTCCTTCATTAGTTAAACATTTATTTATTTATCTTATTAATTTTCTTTTTTAGAGAGAGAGTGTGAGCCGGTGGTGAGGGGGGACAGAATGAGAGGGAGAGAGAAAGACTCCTAAGCAGGCTCCATGCCAAGCACAGAGCCTGATGCAAGGCTCAATCTCACAACCCTGATATCATGACTTGAGCTTAAATCAAGAGGTGGATGCTTAACTGACTGAGACATGCAGGCGCCCCTATTTTTCTTTATTTTTTGATTGTTATTTTTCTTTTACCCTTTTATTTCTGTTTTCCTTTTTCCTCCAAAATGACAAGACAGAAGAATTCACACACACACACACACACACACACACACACACACAAAGAACAGGATGTAGAACTTATGGCCTGGGATTTAATCAATATAGATATAATCAGTAATTAAAAATCTTCCAACAAACAAGAGCCCAGGGCCAGATGGCTATCCAGGGGAATTCTACCAAATATTTAAAGAAGTGTAAAAAATATTCTTCTTAAACTGTTCCAAACAATAGAAATGTAAGGAAAACTTCAGAGGGATGGAGCAAGATGGCAGAGGAATAGGAGACCTGGATATCATCTGGTCCCAGGAATTCAGCTGGATAGGGATCAAACCATTCTGAACACCTACGAACTCAACAGGAGATTGAAGAAAAGAATAGCAACAACTCTCTGAACAGGAAAGTGACCACTTTCTGGAAGGTAGGATGTGCGGAGAAGTGAAACTGAGACGATATTCAGAAGGATAGACGGTGGGGGAGGGGGCCTCCGTTGGCCACTTCTGGGAAGTGATAGAACAGGGGAGCACAAAATCGGAACTTTGAGAAGTCGGCTCCGCTGAGGGATGTCGCTCCAGTGGCTTAGCAGGG